ATTTTCCAAGAATTCATTTGTCGGCAGTTCCAACTCTTTAGTCAAATGTTTGCTTACAGCTAGCCTCATAATTCTAAGAGTCATTGATATCAAAATTACAAATTTGGTCTCTTGTAACTATCGTTGGAAAGAAAATTAAGCAAAGAGCCAACATATGTTGGCTTTCTATAAAGATATCTTCCTAACTACCCTCTTCTCTAATGTTGAGAATATCCAGGAAATGTTAGGACTTATTCTCTCCCATTTCCATTGTGAAACTAATGTTTCTTTTGCGCTGGTTGAGTGAAAGTATGAAACTATTTAAACTTTCCTTCCCATGAGACCAGATGACAAAATGGTCATTCATGCATCTAATCAACAATTTGGGGGTTAGTATTGTCTCTCGCAGGAAGTGTTTCCGAGTCTTGCCATATAATTATTCGTGCAAATGGGAGCCAGGCAAGATCCCACCGCTAGTCCTTGTGTTTGTTCATATAACTTACCATCCAAGGTAAAATATGTGGTACTCATGGATAGGTTGATAAGTCTAATTATGGAAGATACACTCAGCCTTATTCCTTGTATTATCACTGGATGCTCTTCCAGAGTTTGTATCAGAACTGGAATGACTCTTTAAACAGGAATTTTTGTGTGCAGAGACAGTACATCAAAACTTATCAGCATATCATCTTCTCAAAGTGTCTTCTGATCAACTAATTTCACAAAATCATATGAATTTTTAACTGAATATATCCAAGAATTGGCAGAGTTCCTTAGTCGTATGCATAAAAAGCGTGAGATTTAATGCATTGCGCTTTTTTTATCATTTACAATTAATCTTAGAGGGACACCCTCATTGTGAACTTTAGGGAGACCTAAGCCGTCGGGGCCCTTGCATCTCTTTAGCGGAGTGAATTCATTTTCCACTTTCCATTTCACCATCACTTACACATACCTTAAGGGCATCCTTTAGCCTTGTCTTAAGTCTTTCTGTTGGGTCTCTCAGTTAAGGCCTATACGTGTCTTTGTCATTTAAATGAACTAGCATTTTTTTCTACATAACTTGACCTATCCATCACTACCACTGCTCCACCTCTGTTGGCTTTCGTTATGATTAGATTATTACCATAACGATATCTAGAAATTCTACTAAGAGGACAAGGTTTCTTTTGTGTAATTGAGTCTATATAAGAGGTAGGATAGAGCCGGATAGTCTTCGAGCGCTTGTGTTAACGTGAGACTTTTACAAGAATAAGGCCCAGATTTGATGATGTCCATTGAATGAGGGACGAATGCTCATTCCGTTTTCACCCAAAACGAGGGAGGAAATCTCGTTGACTGCGTCAACCTCAACGTCGCATAGAAGCCAAACGGATGCAGTACAACGAGATTCATTCGTCATCATCTGGTGAGATCAACCGACGAATCTCTTCTTCATGCACTTTCATACAACTGAAAGTCTGCCAACAATGTTACCTGAATAGAGCCATCGAAACGAAGTTTCTCTTCGTATCTACCAAGATAAACATATAAGAAGTTGTGATAGGAATAGGGAGAGACGAGTGGGTAGGGATTGGATAGAGGAAACAGGACAAAACGAGCAGTAATAGCATAATCGTCTCGATAGAAAGTTGTTCAAAGGATTGACTTGATTTGTCTCTGGCGTGGTTTAGCTCGGTTGCTGAGAGCGGCAAGAATGACTGATTATTCTGACTACGATGCCGGCGAAACATCTGGGAATGTAGCAAATCCGCAGTCCGAATCTGGAAATGAATATGCATACTATGGGCTCCGGACAAGGTGTGTTCCTCTAGGTCTTCCTGATAATATGATAAATTTGCAAAACCAGGGTCAAATAACTCATAAATATGTTTCTGTTTAAAATTTCAGCTCTTACCTGCATTATTATAGGAGAAAAAGACACAAATATAGGATTGATATGGGGAGAGAATTCCCATCAAAAAGTGAAAGTTACCATACGATGCGTTTTATCCATTTCACTTTAGTATTTATAGAGATATGATTTATATTTAAAAGAAAAATCTTTTCTTTTTATACTCTTCATATTTGTACTTTATTAATTGCCTGCTTACATCATTAATATTCGTAAAAAATCGTAACCTAATCCTCACGATATACTTTAAAATATTTTGGTATAACTCAAAAAACTTTCCGCCCGTTCGTTTTGCGAATAAACAAATCTCTCCTAAATGGTTCGTTATAAATTTTTTCATGGAAGATTAGGTTGCAGCAACAGTTTGCTTGATTACATATTAATTGTTCCCCATGTGAGCACACATGCATCAAATCTTGAGTCTAATGACGCCTGCCTCTTAGCCTTCAATTTATAACACATGTCCTCAGTCATACACAAGCGTAAAATTAATCTTAAACGTCTCAAAATTGTCTCTAAAAGTCCGAACATACCACATATCTGAGGATCAGCTTGGAGTAGCTCTAGACAGTTGTCAATGTTTATTTTCTGAGCCATTGCCTAAAGAGGCTAATCTATTTTACCATCCACTTTAGGCGCTTCTTTTAAATCTGACTTGCAAGGGTACAGTTGGTGATTAGGCTAAACTAAAAAGATTATATTTTTCACATGAGATACACTATATTGTACATCAGAAAAAGAAGATCTCTAAGAAAGTGAACTATTTCAGTTGTTTGACCTTGTTTTCGCAAGTTGGCCATATTGGCAGAAAGACCTGGAGGAACCAACATTGTCCGGACTGAAAAGTCGGATTGTGGAATTGGTATATTCCATAGTCGTTTCGCCGGTCTCAAAGGTGAACCTTGCCACACTTAGCTCCAGATGACAACTCGTCAAAGAGACAAGTGAAGTCGATCCGTTGACCAATTGTCTGCTA